GAAGAACGCGAGCGGGTCGGGGTTCGTTCGGCCCGCGCTTGCTCGGGACGATAGCAACGGCGGAGCGGATAGGTTCGTCCGGCGCGGTTCCCTGGGATGACGCGGCCGAGCGGTTGTCGATCGCTGGTCGCCGGTCGCCGGTCGCCGGTTACCGGTTCGCCCACGGTCTTCGACGCATTCGCCAAATACGGAGCACCGAAGTTGCTCGATCGCGCATGGCGGCGCGCAGGCTTCCTACCCACGCCGTGACCCGACGACGCTTTTTACGGGAAACGAGCGCGGACGGGCGTGGTACTTTCGCTCCTTAATCGAATTCGATCGACGAGATATCGAGATCGATCGTATGCACTCGGCGATCCCGATTTTTTGGAGCTCCGGAGCGCGAGCGAAGCGACGCGTTCTCCAAACGACGAGGCGACGCCGCCTTATCGGGCGTCCGCGGTTTTCGCCGAAATCGTGATCGTGCGCGCGCGAACGACCTCGATCTTTTCCTTACCTTGTACCGTGATCTAGCAGAGAGAGAGAGAGAGAGAGAGAGAGAGAGAGAGAGAGAGAATACACGTTTTTTCTTGGGTCAATTATCTTTTGGGTCGACAAAGGTTGAAACAACGATCGCCGAGCTCGCGGTAATTGCCTCGAGAGGACGTGGAATAAGAATGTTCGAGGTGCGTGCATCGAAATCCGAGAAATCTGAGAGAATCGACGGTTAAAGGTGCCGAATAGCCGAAGAGGGATCGCGATCATCGTCGTGCCGCAGCCCGCGCGTAGCCGTCGCTAAATCGGCGCGACGATCGCGATCCGAGTTGCGTTGTTCCGTCGGCCGTTCGAGCGTCGAACGCGTTTCCTGCTGCGTCACCGGCAGATTTTTCCGCGGCAAGGTCGGATTCTTCCGCGTTTCCTCGGATTCTCGCGCAATGCAACGAATCGAATCGAAACGAAACGGGCAACGGCGCGGTCGCAACGAAAGCCCGGCGACGCGACGCCCGACGCCCGACGCCCGACGATGCCATCGTCGAACCCGACGAAATCGCCGCGGTTGCGCAACGACGTTATGCAACGGGAACCGAGATGCTCGTCCGTGAACGTCGATGGAAGTTGCAGGGGCCACGGTTTCGGCGTTCCCGGAAACGCGGCCGTGACACTGGCGATAAGTCTTTTCGAGCACCGGTACCGAGCGATCCGACGACAATTCCTTCGTGTCTTCTGGCTCGTTAACGGCGCGATCAGCCACGACGCGGCGCACGGTAAATCAACGACCGTCGGCGCGCATGCGAAAACGACGACCGTCGCCGTGATCCGGATTATTCCAGATTCGGTGCCCCGTATTCGAGAAAGGAAACCTAGTCGGTCGAGGCGCTCCGTATAAAAAAGGTTCGAAAAGTCGCGCTCTCCGCGGAGAGAGAGAGAGAGAGAGAGAGAGAGAGAGGGGGGGGAGTCGGATCGTCGGAACCGCTTCTTTTTAAGGCAGTCCGTACCTCGAAGCGTTTTACGCGTAGCGTGGAGTCGAGGAAATCGCGCCGTTCGCGGGACAGCTTGCGCGAAAACTCTTCGCGTACGGTGGAAAAACGACGAAACGTAACCGACCGTACCGAACCGAAAGCCTAGATTCCTCGGGACTCTCCGACCGAGAGGAACGGCGAAACCGTGCCCGTTCGAAACGCTTCGCGAGAAGAAAATTGGAAGCAACGGACCCGAGGCGAACCCGAACCGACGCGGCGTTTAAACGTTCGGCGCTCGAACTCTCGATCGCGGCGAACCGGCCGATCGATCCGGCGAGAAGAAAAGATCTCTTTCCGATTCCTTCTCGGCAGCCGAGATCGCGGATTCCCCGATGAGTTGGGAAGGCCGCGATCGAATTCCAGCGCGTCGCGGCCGCGGCCGCGAGGCGAGGCGAGTCGAGGCGAGACGAGGCGAGGCGAGGCGAGACGACGCGACGCCTCGATCGAGCGAGTTCTCGCGACGCCTATCTGTCGCAACGTTACGTGCGCGGTATCGAAATCGATCGATTCTCACGGGTGGCCGTCGATCTTTATGGTTAACAGGGTTAAGTATATTTGAAGAAAAAGTCAATCGCCTCGCGCGAATCAGGCTACCCTTTTCCGAGAGCCCCGAGACTCTCTCCGCCGCTCCCGAGGGAATCGAAAGCTCGGTCCTCCTGCCCCTCTCCTGCCCTCTGCCAGCCGCTCTTCGTCGCGCCGCGTCCCTGCCTCGCAACGGATCGCGCCATAACGAAGCACGGTACGGCGCGCGTTCTCTCATCGATCAACGTTGAAAGGGAAACTTTTGCAATTTCGCTTTTAAGACGACGGCGACGCGCTCCGACCCGTTCTCCCGTCTTCGCTCTTCGCGGAAACGCGGACGGCCGTTCTCGAAACTCGCGACCCGGCAATCCGAAATCGAGATCCTCCTAAAATTACGCGTTGTCGTCGAGTCGCCGGCGGCCAGAGTCCATCGTAATTCCAGTAGCCGCGTTGGAACGTTCGACGAGCGAGTACGCGCCCGCGAGATCCGACTCGATTTTCCGAATAGTTTACGGTTTACGATTTACGAATTACCGAACGCTTCGGATCGCGCGATACGAATGCCTCGCGATAACGAACGAAGTCGTCGAGGGCATCGCCGAACGACAACGATACCGATACCGATACCGACACCGATGTCGTTACTGCGCAAACCGCGGAAATCGCGCAATAATGTGGTCAACGAGGCGGAACGGATCCGCGTTCGGCCGGCCTCGGCCGTGGCGACGACGGTCGAGCGGCTCGACCGGTTTGATAAACGGTGCGAAGAAAAAGTTGCCAAGATCATCCTTGCCGTTCCGTGTCCCTTCGGTGGGGACGTCGAGGTTCGAAAATACGCGATACCGTATCTCTTGCTCGGCGTGGCTCGACGCCGCGCGATCCGGACCGGTCTCGTAAAGCGCGAACGCTTCGTCGCTCCGTTTTCACCGCTGTAGGTTTCGGAAGTAATTTAACCGTGCCGTAAGAAACGCGTTGCCGACGAGTGGAAAGAAAGCGCGAGCCCAGAAACCGCGAGAGTGGGCCAAGGAGGGTCGATCTCGGATCGGCGAGCACGAGCGAGGACGTCCCCGCGTCGCATCGATTTACGTTAAAAGGAAGCTGGGCCACGGAGGTCGCCGGAGGAGGAAAAAGGAGAAGGGCCTCTCTCGTGGTCGCATCCGAGGCAAAAGTTCCGTAAGCGGACGCGCGAATCGAAAGCCGGCCTCTGGAAGGGGATGAACGCGAACGCATTTGCAGCCTGTGATGTCACGGACCGTTTCGGTCGGCCGTCTCACTCCGTGCAACGGAGCTTGGCGCTCCGCGCTCGGCGCTCCGCGCTCGACGGTAATGCCGTGATAAATATTCGAGAGCGTTCGCGTAGCCCATCGAGATACGCGCGGCGCGGTGTATCGCGCGAAAGATGCAAGACCTCCGAGTAGACGGGAGAGAGATCGGATCGTGTTTCGCCGTACACGGCCGTGACACTAAATTACCGAGTTTGTACAGTGGTTGTCAATCGGTCGGTGTCGCGACGGGACGCGGCGCGGCCGCGTCGAGTGGCGCGATCGAGCCATATTCGACCGGCGTCGCGCCGCGACGCGATTAATCATCTTTTTCGTGGGCTCGGCAAACCGGAATGCCCAGACCCAATTTCAACCGCGGACAAAGGGACCTTGTGTTAAATACATAATGTCGGCGAGACGGAGGGTTGGTAGACCGCCGATTGGCGCGCGACGTTCGCGCGACGATCGCTGTCAACCCCCGCGAGGGGGGCACCGTGGTCGGGGCAAAAAGAAAGACGGATTAAATTCGCCGAGTCGAAATTCGTTCGAAGAATTACCGGCGCGATCTATTCTCCAGCCATTCCTTGGTCTATTTTCGGAACTGTGCACAGCGGGGCAATGTTTCCAACCGTTTTCAGTTTTGTACGTCGAGTTTTCGAAACAACGGCGATTTATTTACCAGGAATTACCAAAAATTATACGATCGCGGTCGAAATAAACGTTCGAAACGATTCGATCGGTTCCTATCGGAGAGAGAGACGGAAAGGGAGAGAGAACGCACCCGCGCGTTCTCGGCGCCGATCGGTCTCGCGCCTCGAGCGACGCGACGGTCCAACGGCAGCCGATTTCCCCGTGACGGAAGGTGACAGAGCCACCTGCGACGCCGCGACGTCGACGGAAATGTAATTACGATCTCGATATTAATTACGGCGCGAATCGAATCGCGGTTGCCGGTTGCCGGATCGGCCCCGGTGTTACAGCCGATAAAGAGAAACGCGATTTCGGTGCACGCGCGCAAGCCGGGACGCGGCTCGACGGGGAAAATTGTGCGGCGCGTTGCCGCGCGATAGGGGCGGTCGACGCCGGTTGCCGCGCGCAGGAGCCCGCGGTACGTTCCTTTCTCGATCGGCCGCTCTTCGCGGTACCTACGGAATTGCCGATTACATTTGTCAATTGCTATGGAAATAAGAACATCCGCCGAAGCGCTGCAACCGAACCAGATAATTCTAGCCGCGCGGAATTCAAATCCGATCGAACGATTCCGTCGGCCTCGCCTGGGCGGGCGATCGCGGCCGACGGGCGATCGCGTCGACTGCTCGCAAATATTGGCATCGCGTCGGCCCCCTGGCCTACATAAACGTCGCGCGGCGACGAGCTTTCATCGAGGGTCGGCGAGCGTCGGCGAACGATCGCGGTTCGCGCCTGTGCGGCTACGAAAGTTCGGCGCATAGCGAAACTGCCCGTGCCATTGCGGATGCGGTAACCAGAGGGAGTATCGATGAAACAGCGGAAGGTGCCTGCACGTGCTCCCGAAAGAACGAACCGTGCCGCGCGCCGCGCCGCTATCTATTTAGGACTTTGGATCGCGCGCACGGAACAACCTCGTTTCACCGGCGAACTTTGTCTATCGCGCGGAGTCGTTTGCTCGCGCGAGCGACCGTCGAACGGAGACCGACCGACCACCGACTACCGTCGAACGGAGACCGACCGACCACCGACTACCGTCGAGACGGCTCGCCGACGAGCGAATCGACGATCGTCCGTACGGAAACGAACGTTTGCCAGCTTTCGAGGATCGGTTACGCGACGACTTAGAATCTAACGCGATGAAATTCGAGCTATCGTTGCTCTCGGCTCTATGCGCGAAACGAGTTTCGGTGTACGTTTTGGTTCGACTTCGATGTCGCGTGCCAGGGGAAGGCGAGTTATTTCGCGCGAACGCGCGGTATCGACGGATGCATCGAACGCGCCCCGATTTTCCAATCGACGCGCGCGAGAAAGAGCGTCCGTCCAATCGTAAAGCTGTAACCTTTCGACCGCCCGACTTTTAAAACGCGAACCAAGACGCGACGCGAGTACGGATAAGCTGGATCCGATTGTAAAACGAGAAAAGAAGAAGCAGCGTCCGAAAAATTGGAAAATCCTTTTAGATCGTGGACGCGCGTCGGTCGAGCGCTCGCGACGAGAACGCGACGAGAACGCGACGAGAACGCGACGAAACGACAAGACTCGGTACGATGGATATCGATCAAGGGCAATCGCGTGGGTATAAAGTCCCTGTTTTCAAGGTACCGCGTAATCCGGTTCGAGGAAAACCGATGACTGGTTTCTAACGAAACGTCGTAACGTCGAACAAACGTGGTCGACGATGCGACAACGATTATCGGGAGTTGTAGATTACCGCGTGTACAAAGGTGGTATCCGTCCACTTTTCTCGCAACCACGCGAGAAATATTATATTTCTTACGCGGTTGTACGGCAACGCGAGATCGATACGGTGCGATCGATTCTTTCCGATCAAAGTTATATTCTTCGTAATTCTTAAGGTGATTTTTATTCGCACACGCGTACATCTTTCTTCGATCAACGAGACCGTCGTCGCGACGGTACGTAAACGACGGCGTGTAACGCCCCTGAAAGGTGACAACCGTTGTCGCTCGCCGACATGCCGCGGACGGCATCGTCGGAGCCGCGACGCGCGTCTGCCGGGTCACGTTCGTGCTCCACTTTACAACCGTGATTACGAACACGTCCGTAACCGTAACGCAGTCCCTCGAAAACTTCTGCGAGCTCGAGGTAATTTAGGTTATCGATTGCTCCTTTTACCTTCCTACGCCCTTCGAGTCCCGATCAAATCGTTCGTCTCGCCTCTACGAACAACTCGCTGTCAATCTTTCGGCGGTCTAGCGCCGCGCCGCGTCTATTTTCGACCAGACTTTGAAAAATATCGTCCCTCTGTCCAGCCCGTAGCGAAAAACTGTTCGATCGACTGTTCGGTGAGAAAAATGTACGCGCAACGTACGAATGTACGTTGAAACGTATCGGGTAAGACGTTTTCCATCGTCCCATCTGCTCCGACTCTCCGGCCTTCCGACCGCTGCTGGAAACGCTTCGAGCGAAGATTCCGCGATCCAGCGGAAAGTCGTTTCGAATCTTGGCCGCGAACCAACGATGGTCGATTAAAAATATGGTAAGAGAAACAGCGTGGATATAAGATAGCGCAAACATCGGATTTCATCGATTTAAAATGGAACAGCAGCTTACCGACGATAAAAACGGGAGAAGATTCGTTGCTTCGATTTTCGGAGACGTCGCTGTTGCTAAAAATATACTCCCGGTCGAAGATAGAACGATAACGATACGCGTTTTAATCGCGTTTCCGTGACACCGGCCGATAACCCCCGCGACAGAGGACGATCGCGTACGCAACACCGGCCGACGTCTCGTTAAAAAACCCGTTTGTTCGTAATCTACATCCCCGTGTTTACTTTTACTTTCTCTCTTTTCCTACAACCCGCGCGTTCTAAGAAACGCGATTGCCATATTATACGCGGACTCCCCGATAAAAGCAAGAATTATACGGCCAGGAAAACCAGGAATTCGAAATAAATTCGAAACGCGGATAATGAGATTGTACGGCCGTGAAACGGAAGCGGTTTCTTCGAAGAAGAAACGTGCCGATAACCCCTCGTTGCAACATACTTCGAACAAGAGAATGCGATTCGAAAAGAAGACTCACCGTTATCTATGCGCTCGTACTCCTACCGTCGCGACGTTCCCGCACGACTCGCGGAGACGGAACACAGCCTGCAGGGGAAATTGACAGCGATTCCTCGATCGTCGACGAGACGAGGCTCGGGATCGCGATCGCGACCGCGATCAGGATCGCAACGACGCGATAAAAACCGAGAAATTCGTTCGCGTGTTCGATGCATGTTCGGTAACAGCGAGGCGCCGTGCCGTCAGCCGTCAGCCGTTGCACCGACGGCGGTTCGCACCTCACAGATGCATCGCGACGTCTGGCCACACGTCCGACGTTCCCAGTTCCTAGTTCCCGGTTCCCGGTTCCCGCGCCCGTTCGGTCCGACGGCGTCGAGATGTCGTCGCTATGACAACCTGTCACAACACCCCTGTGCGCACGCGTACTCCGATCGCCTTTTACGCGCCGATACGGGGCCGATTCGCATACTTTGATTCACCTGTATCGTCGCACGTGCCGTTCTCGCGCGTCTTTCTCTATTTTTCTTTCAATCGGTCTTGCGCTACCGGTTTCTTATTTTTCTGCAAGATAATTTATCGTGCGGTGTCCCGACGGTTCCTCGAGGTCGCGCTCGTCGCTTCGTCCTCTCGTCTTTATCGTCGTTATCGAAATTGAAGCTCGAAATTTACAGTTTCGACCGAATAATATTTTTAACGTCCAAAATTTCTCATAACCTCGACGAAGGTTTGTTTTACGATCGTTTTACGAACGTCGTACGTACGATTTTTTATCGTCGCCCGTGACTCGACTCTTCGTTTTATTGCACATTAGCCGTTTCCTTTCGAAACGTTAATTACCAGCGAATCTCGATGACCGGAAGATATTTCTCTGCTATAATTACACTTTTAGATATCGCATACATACGTGTACGTGTAAATACGATGCATAATTTGAATTCGAAATATTTTTTTTAACGAGCCTGTGTAGCGTGTATATACATACACACACATATATATATATATTTATATATACGTGTGTATTTACTTTGAAAGAATAGCAGAAGCGTTTGTTATCCTATCGAGGCTACAAAACTATCTCGTTGGTTTAGAATATGCATCTGAACGTTGTTTCGAGCATGCATAATGCATGTCTTGCGATAATCGTGACAAGGTAACCCAAGTTATTAACAGCTTTTGATAGTTGTTACGAAGTTAATTGGGTAATTGAAATAGGTTTCATAAACGTATACGCAGAGTGCGAAATATTATAGAAATATGTTTATTAAAAATTCGGTAATAACAAGCCCTACGATATAACCTTTTATAAGAATGGAAGTTGTTAAAGAGACGAACGCGCGCGGTACTCGACCCGTATACGATAACAAAATAAAAAGCTATCGCGTTCGTTGACAAAATTGACCCATCGAAGGATAATATATCCCAATAATATCCCAATATCCTAACGGATCGACGAATAACAAATTACATGCGTAAAAACTATGTCCTATTCGCTGTACAATATAATTTACCAGTAATAGATCAACGTACTGATCGCTTGGAATATCGTGGTAAAGAATCCTGTTAAGAAAGAGATCGCGCGATACGGTTGCCTCAGCCAAACGGCGTACGACAACGTATGCACTATTCTAGAAATAACGAAGGTCCGAATTAAAATTGTAGCCAACCACGAGGGAGGGCCTGTGGTTAACCAGAGAGAGGTTACTATGAACCAAAGTGGAATGTTCTCTAGATCGTTCAAATGACATCTGCGCACACGTTCGATATCTGGATCGTTGTGAAGCACTTTTGACCCCTTCATGAGAGCGGTATCGTCGGGATTGACAAATATCTGCGAGAAACGAAATGCACACCTTGTTTATTCGTATTTCCGGTAAAAATATTGCGCTCGATACGAGTAAAAATTACCTTCTTTTGAAATCTGTGACGGACGGTCATCAGCACCACTGCTACCATTTTTAAACAAACTACGGAGCTCCAAAAGCCAAAAGTTCGGAAAAGTTCCGGTTCTATCCCAAACATGTTTCCAGCCATCTTTCCACCAAAACGTTCGACGATTCGATGCTCGCAGTGTGGCGGTGTCGCGTCTCCTCCCTCTCTATATATACCGACAAAGACGATGATATGAAAAATGATAAAATGGACACGGTGTCGTCGTCATCGTCGTTCGCAGGAAAGATGGAACGTCGTTCTAACTCAACCTGAACGTTGATCCCACTTGACATGCGCGTGCGAGGCATATGCTGCGCGCGTATGCATACGCGTGCACGCGTATAGGTTATCCTCGAACTTGTAACGCGAACATCGGGCACCCTGCCGAGCGCGTTTTCATAATACGTATGTATCGCGATCGAATTACCGAATAAACTGTAAGTGGAAAATAATTCAATCACAATTGCTATTTGTAATTTAGATATGTCTAGTAAATTGTCGTCGAGTGGTAGATTACGATTTCGATTGGCTGGTGCCTAGGCGATGCCACGCGATTAGAAGCAAAGATCGATGCTACAGGTTACGCTGAAACGCGATGGAAAGACTATCGAGCGGTGTAAATAAACGATTCGTTCGTTCAATTATGTAAGCAATTATGTAGTTGGCGTATCCGCGTAACCGCCAACGTCCTCGATATCGTCTTCCAGTTTGTTCGTTTCGAGCCAATAGAAACGCGCGAGACCGTAGTCGTCGCGGATTGGTTCGTGGCGATAGCGCGGACCAATCGGCGTCGGTCGCCGGCACGGAACGACGGAGAGAAACGGTGAACAGGATTTCTTAAACTCGTCGCGCGATTGGGTGCTCGTTTTCCAATGAGGAAACAGGAAGTATAGGAATATCCAAAGCCTAAATCGTAACCGTAAATCGACATCGACGAAAACGTTGAACGTTCGACCGTTCGATCGTTCGACCGTTCGACCGTTCGACCGTTCGACCGCATCGTGCGTTCGATTCGACGACGCGTCGCGAGGGGGGCAACGGGTCCGAACGGGTCGTCGCGTACGGACGCGTCCAGTCTGGTCCAGTAGCGTCGTTGCGGATCGAACGCGACGATTGGACAGTTCTCGGCTGGTTCTCACCGTAAAAATCGCCAGAGTTAAAGGGAAAATGGGGGACCGTGGTATCGCGCATGCGCCCGGAGCAACGCTGACGCAGAAGGTACGTCAGCTGTTTTGTTAGAGTTGCGTGCATCGGGAATGGTGTATTGTTGACTGCAGGGGATATACTTCGCAGTTCGTAACTCCGACCGTATTTCTTTGTTTGTTTGGTGTACAGAACCGTATACTGTATCCATCGTAGAGGAGGTCGAGCCGCGTGCGGAAGGATTAGGACGCGACGAGGCTGGACCAAGGGGAATCGCAGCGGAGGCCTCGAATTACCTGGTGGAGATAACCGTTGGAAAGTGATATTCTCTCTCCCGACTCCCGACGACTCCCGAGTTCCGAGTTCCGAGTTTCGAGTCCCAAGGAGAGGCGAGGAGAAAAGAAAAGAGAAGAGAAGAGAGCAGTGTTCGCAAAGCCGTCCGTCCGACTGTGGTGTCCCGTGTCCCGTGTCCCGTGTCCCGTGGTACCACTTCCGAAGGCTTTGGACGCGAACGCGTTTCTGTTTCCGAAGGCAGGCCGCGCAACACCGTAGTAATTCCAGCAGACGGACAGGAGGGACAGGCTAACATGGCACAACCGACGAGCTCGGCGCTCAGGGCGCTCGCCCTCGAGTACAAAAGCCTTCAAGAGGAACCCGTCGAGGGTTTTCGTGTGAAACTCGTTAACGAGGACAACATGTTTGAGTGGGAAGTAGCTATCTTCGGCCCCCCGGATACGCTCTACCAAGGTGGATACTTCAAGGTAAGTTATCGTAATTATTCTTAGATTTCGCTCGTACCGGGAACCTCGTCCACCGGGAACAGATGCTTCTTTCTCCACGCTCCGCATTCTACGCTCCGCTCCGCGATCCGTTTCCCCCTATCTCCCGCCCTTCCCGCTCCACACGTATATATATCGCTTCTCGTACGCGAGCACAACGCTTTCCATTTTGTTGGTTATGTTTTGTTTTCGTGGTTTTCGATTTCTCTTTCGGTGACGCGAATATCAAACCGTGACGCGTTTATTCGTTGTATAAGCTCGAAAGTCGTTCGTTCGGCTTCGATCGATCGAATACTCTTCGACGAACGGTTTCGTTTCTCTTCGTTTTTATTATCTTATCGATCTGTTAACCGAGCGATTTTTCAATTTCAAATACTTACAAGGTCTGGCCACTCGACGAAGAAAACGACCGAACGTATCGAACGTATTTGTCTATAGCTGCGATCTACATAAACACGACAAAGTCGCGTCATCGTGGATATACCGTGACGCGCGCGACGCGACAAAGCGAAAGAATTATTGCGATACCTTCCGTTGTAAATAAGACGTTTAATTTGCTGGCCGAACGAGGACAAAGTACCGTGTTTAAAAAAAAACGTATAAATATTTTGTCAAAGTCGTACGATCGTGGCGTTCCGTCGTTTTGGTCGGAAAAAGAAAAGGAAAATGTAGAAACATTGGCATCGACCGGTTCAACGCGTCGCGTCTCCCAGAATCCATCGAGACGCGTTCGCGCGCTATTTAATTACGAATTCAGGAATTTGTGCGAATTTTTACGAATTTTTGCGCCGGTTCGGTAGCCGTTCTCGACCGAGCTACGTACTTCGAAGCGGCACGTATTGAGCAATACTGGAAACGGAGGATTACCCAATGCGGACGGATCGGTTGACCCGCATTCTACGGTAATTTGAAATTCTCGATGCGGTTTCGAATGTCGCCTCGCGGTACGAATCGTTTCGCGGGAATCGTTCACCCGTCGATCGACAGAATTTTCAATCGCAACGCGCGACGCGGTTTTTTAAAACTTTTAGGTTAGGTTCGTTCGAACCGTCCGATTCCGATCGGCGGAGAAATCCGCGTATCGCGGAATATCGTTGTCGTCGTCGTCGTCGTCGCCGCCGCTGCTTCGACTGCCGGGACGAACCGACGCGAGCGTGCCGAATTCGAACGTTTATTTTTAGTAGCACGCTTCGATAAATAAGCGTCGCGTTCGATCGTTTCGGACGCGGTTCGAATTTGAATTTCATTCGTTTCCTACGCGATCGATTCGTCTCCGCAACGACGACGACGACGATAATCGTCCGAACGGAATTTGTTGGTTTCACCGTTTTTTCAGCAGGTGCTTTTTAATTTGCCGGTCGAGTTTCCTTTTTGTTCCAACTAGATTACAGATCGTATCGACGCATCGACGACGAACGCAACCGGCTAAGAAATTTCAGAGACCCGAAAAATTCCGATACGTTTCGAAGTTTGCGCGCGCGCCCGCGCGCGCCGGGAGAAACTCGTTGGAAGAGTCGAGCAATTTGTTCGCACCGATAACCCCCCTTCAAGGTTAACAAATGCTTTTCTATTTTCGTAAATACCATCGGTCCGTTACATCGGAGTTTGAATTTGCAATTGAAATAGCAACGCGCTAAATGTTATCGGCATTTGAAACAATGCACTCGCGTGACAGCGCATCGTCCCGCGTCGAAGCTCGAAGCTGTTTTCCATCGACCGTTCAGCATCGGGGCACGATCGGTATCGGCGCGATACGCGTACGCGTTCCGACACGTGTCGCGAAATCGCGTACTCGAAAGTATCGAGGAAGGAATCCGTCGGGCTGCGACGATAATAAAATGGTAGTTTTTAATCGAAGAAGAAAAGTGGAGTACATGGTACGAGGTAGTCCGTATTCGTTGGCCTCGTCGGAGCGATCGCGGCGATGGCATCGCGCGTTCGTCCGGTCCGCTCGCGGAAAATGAATCGTGGTGGCATGGCGCGGTTACAGGGTTTTTGTACGACGCACAGGGTCCGCTTTCTAAACCAGTCACTCTCCGCTTCGTTATGAATTTACGAACGGTTATTCGCGTAACGCGACGCGCTCCCTGCACCCTGTCTTCCCACAGTGCGGCGCGGTGCAACGCGGTGCAACGCGGTGCAACGCGCAGAGCGCGGAGCGCATGCTACCCGCGAACGAGCTCGGGCCAACACCGTTATTCGCGAGTCGTATCGCGTCGTATCCCATCGTATCGTTCCATGTCTCTCGGTGCACGCGACCCGGCGTCTACGTGGGCGTTTCGAATCCTGTCGGACCGGGTTCCCCGCAACCCTCGCGCGACCTCTTTGGCTGCGAGTAAATCGCGAACAGTGTCGTTGGACGTATCGCCGCGCGACTCTTGCGAGGACTTGTCGCGATTGCGCGAACGCGCGCGCGTACCCGCGGACCATTGTTGTCCGGCCAGTTATCGTTATCGGCGCGTTCGTCGAATTTTTCACCGGCGCGGCGCGACGAGCGAAGGGTTACGGATTCGTTGCTCCACGTTCTACGATCGTCGAAAGAACGCTTCCGTGGTTAATCGTAGACTCGTCGTCGAGGAAGCGAGGACATCTCGCGCGAACGTAAAATGTAGCGCGGTTCGTCGCGCTTCGATCCTCGAACACGGATCGATTCGAGAAAATCAACGGCTATCTTCCCCTTCGTTCGCAGCTGCGAATAAATCGTAAACATCGTCGTTGCGAAGACGTACGGCGATTGCGCGCAACGTTTGGATTATCGGGAATTCTACCGGCCTCTCTACGCGGAGTCGCTACGATTGCGGCGCGCGATCGCCGTTTCGTCGAACTTTCGGTCGCGAACGACCGATCTTCTGCTCGACGATCGATATTTTGCAATTTCGAGGACTCGATGCTCGTGGGTCGAGCTCGTAGCTGTCTGCACGGTCGGAGCATTCGTTTATCCAATCAAATCCATCGTAAATCCAGCAAAATAACAAAATTGCATATCCGTTCGATATCTCGAGGAAATTTCTGTAACTTTCTTCGGAAGTTTGCAATCCGTGCGGACCGAAACTGCGTACGCGCAACGATTCGAGGAAATCGTTGACGCGGTTTTCGGAGAGCGGACACGCGGTAGCAAACTTTGCATCGTCGAACGCGAATCGCGCGAACGTCGCGATCCCGCCAATTACGCTCCCTGCCGGCCCGCGCCGGCCTGTGTCGGCTTTTAATCGCGACCGCGGTAATCGCGCGTGTTCGCCGATTATCGATGATTTCTTTTCGACGTCGCGAAGGATAAGGAGCGACGCGTGTAACGGATACGATAATTCGCTCGGGGGCGAACGAAAGCGGGGAGGTTTATCGCGGTCCCGTTGCCCCGTGTTCCATACGCGACTTATCGCAAAACACCGCTGCTTTCCCAGGATTTACGATCGACCCAACCGAAAGGCGGGTTCGTAATATGTTCGTAGCGTTGCATAAAATGCCATCGAGCATTGTCTCGGTTCTATCTTTGGTCGGCACGGCTCGACGCGACGCGGCGTGGCGCGGTTCGGTGTCCCTCCGAATCGCCCGAACAACTTTCACCCAATCCCATTCCGCTCGAGAGAGGGAGAGAGGGAGAGAGAGAGAGTGAGAGAGACGCCAACACCGTGAATTTTTTCTTTTACACCAAAGACGGGGTTGCGGAATTATTATATATACATATATTATAGCCGGAAAACGCGGACGGACCTCCTCTTAGTCGGCGGACACGAGCTCTCGTTTCGAATCCATCGAAAATGGATGTGATTTATAAACGACAGAGTCCTGGGTTCGTTGTTCGAATTATAGCGGGCGCAGGGTTCGGGGACCGCAATAATTTGATAAATACGGTAAAAAGTTTCGCGCTCGTTTCCCGTTTTAGAAACGAAACGATCTCGACGCGCGACCGCAATTTCCTACAAAAAGCGCGAATTTCCCTGTCGCGCGAACGCGTACGGCGTAAAGATAAGAAACGAAAAGATCCGTATCTCGCGCGTTATCGATCGACGTTCGCTCGACGTACTCGTATGCGCGCACAGAGACGATACCTCGACCGCGCGGACTCGACGGATTTATACCGGATTCTACCGATCGAAAGCGAAACTCGGTGAAACCGAGAAGCTCGCCTTCGACAGGGACTTTCCCTTCTCCGTTTAAGAGCTCCGAAAAATCGAATTCGAGGGAATTGGCGGCAAAAGCGCGAACGGCCAGCGTCGACCGGCCGATTCGTGGATTCGCGTAAACGCGATCGGCGGCGGCGAGCAACGTCGATTCGAATCCGAACCCGTCGAAGACTTTACGATCAAATTTTAAAATAAACGTTGAAATGCTCGCGGAGGGTGCAGCCAGGGATCGATACTCGGCGCGCAACGCGCTCGGTCGCGTCGCTGATTGTTGTTGGACCGCGGATAAATATGCGCTCGCGCGACACGCGAATCCGCGTCGAACATCGAGAAAACGATCGACGGACTCGTTCTCGGTTTGGTCGGGCTCGGAACTCGACCGGGAAAAGGAAACGCGCTATTCGTTTCTCGATGGTTGCCCGATCCGACCGAAACGAAACCTCGGCGATTGATCGATCGATATCGGAGCCGCGCAACGGTGAACTCGATCTCGGATCCCAGCGTTTCCAGCAGAGGCGGTGGTCGTCGCGGCGCTCGTCTCGCAGACGGAGCTATTATTAACGGACCTGTATCGCGAATAGCGTCCGATCGCGATAACAACCGGAGTAACGGAGTATCCGGAGCAAACTCGCTCGACGAAGAAAACTGTGAGACGAAAGTTTCGCCCCGGCTGGCCGGCCGACTGGCCGGCCGACTGGCTGGCTAGAGAGAACAGCCGAGGTGCCACCGAACGCGTTCCTCTCGCGAAAAAGAATCGAGTTATTTTCAGCGACGCAGTCGCGGACACGGACACGGACACGGACACGGACACGGACACGGACACGGACACGGACACGGACATGGNGTAAATCCAGCAAAATAACAAAATTGCATATCCGTTCGATATCTCGAGGAAATTTCTGTAACTTTCTTCGGAAGTTTGCAATCCGTGCGGACCGAAACTGCGTACGCGCAACGATTCGAGGAAATCGTTGACGCGGTTTTCGGAGAGCGGACACGCGGTAGCAAACTTTGCATCGTCGAACGCGAATCGCGCGAACGTCGCGATCCCGCCAATTACGCTCCCTGCCGGCCCGCGCCGGCCTGTGTCGGCTTTTAATCGCGACCGCGGTAATCGCGCGTGTTCGCCGATTATCGATGATTTCTTTTCGACGTCGCGAAGGATAAGGAGCGACGCGTGTAACGGATACGATAATTCGCTCGGGGGCGAACGAAAGCGGGGAGGTTTATCGCGGTCCCGTTGCCCCGTGTTCCATACGCGACTTATCGCAAAACACCGCTGCTTTCCCAGGATTTACGATCGACCCAACCGAAAGGCGGGTTCGTAATATGTTCGTAGCGTTGCATAAAATGCCATCGAGCATTGTCTCGGTTCTATCTTTGGTCGGCACGGCTCGACGCGACGCGGCGTGGCGCGGTTCGGTGTCCCTCCGAATCGCCCGAACAACTTTCACCCAATCCCATTCCGCTCGAGAGAGGGAGAGAGGGAGAGAGAGAGAGTGAGAGAGACGCCAACACCGTGAATTTTTTCTTTTACACCAAAGACGGGGTTGCGGAATTATTATATATACATATATTATAGCCGGAAAACGCGGACGGACCTCCTCTTAGTCGGCGGACACGAGCTCTCGTTTCGAATCCATCGAAAATGGATGTGATTTATAAACGACAGAGTCCTGGGTTCGTTGTTCGAATTATAGCGGGCGCAGGGTTCGGGGACCGCAATAATTTGATAAATACGGTAAAAAGTTTCGCGCTCGTTTCCCGTTTTAGAAACGAAACGATCTCGACGCGCGACCGCAATTTCCTACAAAAAGCGCGAATTTCCCTGTCGCGCGAACGCGTACGGCGTAAAGATAAGAAACGAAAAGATCCGTATCTCGCGCGTTATCGATCGACGTTCGCTCGACGTACTCGTATGCGCGCACAGAGACGATACCTCGACCGCGCGGACTCGACGGATTTATACCGGATTCTACCGATCGAAAGCGAAACTCGGTGAAACCGAGAAGCTCGCCTTCGACAGGGACTTTCCCTTCTCCGTTTAAGAGCTCCGAAAAATCGAATTCGAGGGAATTGGCGGCAAAAGCGCGAACGGCCAGCGTCGACCGGCCGATTCGTGGATTCGCGTAAACGCGATCGGCGGCGGCGAGCAACGTCGATTCGAATCCGAACCCGTCGAAGACTTTACGATCAAATTTTAAAATAAACGTTGAAATGCTCGCGGAGGGTGCAGCCAGGGATCGATACTCGGCGCGCAACGCGCTCGGTCGCGTCGCTGATTGTTGTTGGACCGCGGATAAATATGCGCTCGCGCGACACGCGAATCCGCGTCGAACATCGAGAAAACGATCGACGGACTCGTTCTCGGTTTGGTCGGGCTCGGAACTCGACCGGGAAAAGGAAACGCGCTATTCGTTTCTCGATGGTTGCCCGATCCGACCGAAACGAAACCTCGGCGATTGATCGATCGATATCGGAGCCGCGCAACGGTGAACTCGATCTCGGATCCCAGCGTTTCCAGCAGAGGCGGTGGTCGTCGCGGCGCTCGTCTCGCAGACGGAGCTATTATTAACGGACCTGTATCGCGAATAGCGTCCGATCGCGATAACAACCGGAGTAACGGAGTATCCGGAGCAAACTCGCTCGACGAAGAAAACTGTGAGACGAAAGTTTCGCCCCGGCTGGCCGGCCGACTGGCCGGCCGACTGGCTGGCTAGAGAGAACAGCCGAGGTGCCACCGAACGCGTTCCTCTCGCGAAAAAGAATCGAGTTATTTTCAGCGACGCAGTCGCGGACACGGACACGGACACGGACACGGACACGGACACGGACACGGACACGGACACGGACATGGACACGGACACGGACACGGACATGGACATGTACACGGACACGGACACGGACATGCACACGGCTACGAACACGTATACGGACACGGACTCGCGCACGCTCTCCGTCTCCTACACGGACGGGGACCGTCCCGTTCGCGCGATCTTTAACGCGAAGCCCGCCGAAAAATCAAACTACAAGTTCTGCTCGAACCTCGCCTCGCGCAGCAATCTTTCGGTTATCCAAAATAATCGGAAGAACGCGGAGGTTCGCGGAGAGGCGTCGATAGAACGGGGATAGTCGGATGCGATGCTTTCCAGCGAGGTAGGTACACGTTCAGCCTCTCTGGAACGCGAACGTTTCCACCCGCTTGGAATATTTTCATTCCGATGTTCGATCTTTCGTTCGATATTTCGTCCGTACGAATCGAACCGATACGCGTAAATATTCGCGGACCGGTCGTCGAAGAGAAATCCTTGGGCAACGATCGCGGCAAATCGTTCGATCGGCTCTAAACGCGCGAGACTCGGCGATGATTGGAAGCGTCGATAGCAAAAAGCATTGTCCCAGAATTCGCGGAGACGTTCGGTCGGCCGAATTCTGCCGATAGACCGCGGAGACCCGCTGGAATCCGGATAAACGGGTTCGGCGGCGAACAACGTCGCGGTCCATCTTCCCCCCCGAATTGGGTCACCGCGCGCGATCCTCGCGAATCGGGCACGGTCACCGGCGGGTCGCGACGTTACCCGGATCCCGAATACTACCCTAGAACCCGACGCGACGTCGCGGCGCTCTCGGGGACGCGACCGGCCGCGCGTCTCGCCTCGACCCGCCACGGCCCGCGGAAATAGGTCGCGAAAATTTGTGGGTCGTCCCGTGGCGCCCCGCGGCTCGAACAGAGTCAACGATCCTGTTTCGTATTTCTCGGCAACGAGGCCGCGCGCGCGCGCGCGATCGTCGCTTCCTCGCGTCCGGTGCCAATATTTGGTAGAGCGAAATTGGCCCAGCGGCGACGGCTGGATCTTTCCTCGTTTCCGACGGACGAAACCGACCCGGACCACGCTGTTTTTGCCGTCCGTCGTTGTATGGTCAAGGTAACGGTCCCCTGGTTACGCGCGCCGAAACCGTTGCATCATCGAACGGAATCGAATGCGCGCGGACGCGACGGCCGGCGTACACAGCTCCGTTCGCGAGCGTCTCCTCGCCATCCGCGCTGCTCGCTTTACCGAAAATTATGAAATGGCCGAAACTTTCTATTGGCTAAGAGAGAGTTCTCGCGGCGTTGGAAAATTGCCGCGCGTCTCGTAGGTTTAGACTCTTTCCGACGTCGCGGCGGTCGCGAATCTCGGTGCTGAATAGCCGATGAGAATCGATTTCACCGGGAACGCGCGACGGAATCTCGCAGATCCGTCCCCGTTGATACGCGAATCGTTTAAAATGCGGCGTAATTGCGCGGAACGATCGATCTTGGTAGCGGTTCCGCGAACGCCGGTCACCGATGTCGCGCGAGATTACGAACCGACCGATCGACCGACCGATAAGCGTTATCGATTCCGTCGCGTCGCGGATCGGAACGCGATGCTCCGTATTCTCCGTATTCTCCGTGTTCTCCTGGACGGAGTAGAAACGAACGGCGACGATGCCGTATTCGGAAACTCGACGCGAAACGATGGACGCGGAACGCGCTCGCAGACTACCATCGTCGACGCGTCCGACTTTCGTTTCGGGGGTCCGACGATCCACGAGCCGATTCGTCGTTCGACGAACGCGATCTATGTTCGAATTCGTACGGAAACGAGTACGCTCTCGGCGGACGAAAAGAATCGAATTCTCGCGCGTTTCGGTTTGTCTCGCGACGGATCAGCGATAGCGCGAATCAACGTTTCGTTCGCGCGAACGTCTGCCGATTCGATGCGCGGCTATCCGATCGCGTAATTTCTTCGAGCAGCGGAAAGAACGGTACGAATTCGTCGAAACCGGTTTTTACGTTTCTGCCACGGTCGGCTGTCCGTCGCCGTCCTCTGGCCGGTAGCCGGCGACCCGGAGCAGTTCCATCGGGCTCGTCCAATGGCGCGGCGATCTTTCATGGTCAACGCGAGCAGCGCGGCCGCTCCATTTTCTTCGGCATTTCCGTCGGAAAGTTCTCCCGGACTTTGGCTGGAACCGGGACATTCGAGGCTCGCGCTCCGCTTCCCGAGTTGCCGAGTTGTTCCCGAGTTCCCGAGGGCGGCCGTCTCCGAGCTGCCAATTAAATCTGAACGCGCGCCTGTCCCGGGAACGCGGAGGTGGTCGCATCGCGTCGGTCGCGACGCGAAATTCACGGTGTCCCCTTGATCGATTCGGTGTGGAAACGAGTTGGGCGGACGCGCGGTGGCGGGAATAATTCTCGGACAGGCGAACGCGAACGTCGATCTCGATGGAAAGTAAGTCGATGCTCCGGGACGCGCTAACCCGGACGACGGGACAGATATTTGGGCCATGACCAGGTTGCGATCGATGCAGCGTCCCGCCGGCGGACCATCGGCGAAATTCTGCCGGCTAGCGGCGTCGGTGGTCGGTAGTCGGAAGTCGGAAGTCGGAAGTCGAGAATCTGGACGACTCTCGCGTACGCTCCGCGAGATGAATCGATTCTGCGGAGCGAAACCCTCGCGATTATCGGAGAGCGTTTATTCGAGAACCGTCGTTTTCGTCCGAAACGGAACGTTTCGCGGGACGGGAGAACGATCATCGACCGAATTCGATCGAACCGTTCGGTCGGTCCGCGACCTTATTTTTCGTCCGCGAATGCTACGAATGCTCGAAGAAACCGCGCGCGACCGATGGGGCCGGTGGTCGGCGCGATCGACGGTCGCCGCGCTCCCCCGATCCGTTTCGCGCACCGACGCATCCGCGCGCCGATCGCCTCGGCACGCGAATCGGATCGAATTCCATGGAAACCTGCTTTTTGCTCGTTCCGGCCGAATCCGCCGACCCCGATAATCGCCGACGACACGATCATCAACTTGTTTCTTTTTTCCAGGCACACATGAAGTTCCCACCGGATTATCCGTACAGTCCACCGAGCATTCGGTTTATGACGAAAGTTTGGCACCCGAACGTGTACGAGGTGAGTAAATACGGGAATTATCGATCCTCCTTTCGTCCCCTTTTCGCTTTTCACCCTCCGCGTCGCTCGCTCTCGTCCGCCTCGTTCCTCTCTCCACTCGCGTCGTCGCATCTTTCTCCCGCTCTTTCTCCCTTCGTCGCTTCGCTCTCTCTCTTTCCTCCGGGACTCCCTTTCGCTTTCTCCGAGGCTCTCTTCGTCGCTTGCCCTTCGTTTCGTAGCCGTCGAGCCGGGATCGGGAGTCGGCGGGACTCGCGAAATCTGTAGCCGCCGGCTCTATTCCCGCAGCCTCTCTCTCGTTCCGATACCCGCGATCGGTTTCTCTCCTCGTTTTTCCTCCTCGTATCGCCGTGAAATCGCGCGTCTCGAGGGATATTAAGCGACCGTAATTTCGATAATCGACGGCTTTACCGGCGCGACGAAATCTGCGCGGGCCGCGAAATCGACGCTCGTTTTCGAGAACTTTTTAATTCGCACTGTTTCTCGGATCGTCGTCGGGACGCTCGCGGCGCGCGAGAGCGCGTACGCGAGCGTGCGAGCGGATTCGCTCGATTTTCCGCCAATCTCCGTTACGGCGATATCGCCGACAACGGTTTTCCGGCGTGCACTCGTCGTCTCTTTGCTTCATCCGGTGAATTTCGAATCGAGCGAAAGACGGAGAGAAGAGGAGAGGAGAGGCGAGCCCGCATCGAGGATCTCGTTATTTATCGCTACCGTCGCGGCTCGACGCGGCGCTTGTAAATACGACGTCGGCCGTCGGGGGAGCGCGCTGAAATTTTTACCGAAGGACGCCGGGGGACGAAGGATTTAAATACCCCGGAACTACCCTCTCGAATCGTTTCTCGTTTCGCAACCCCCTGCATTTTAATAGCGGGACCGGTTCCAAGCACCGCGTTCTAATTATTTTTCGTCTCGCGTTCGCCATCCTCGTTTAAAACGCTTCTTCGCGCGATCTCGCGACTCGCGAGATGCGTGGCTCCGATTTATTCGATCGGGTTTTATTTACGCGTAATTTAACTCCTTGCGATTTTCACCGTCGAAGCCGAATTGAAATTTTGCATCCTAACGAAAGGGAGAGAGAGAGAAATTGAACGGTCGTGGTTCTCCGGAAATTATTTTCGCGGTAAGTATCTCGTTTTCGAAGCGTATCGACTCTCTCTCTTCCTCTCTCGAGCGAGAGCGAGAGCGCTATCCGCGCGACCCTTTGGCGCGGAGCGAAAGAGTCAACGACCGTCCAAAGCACGTTGGACGTCCGTGTCCAGTCGCTCGTCGTTGGAAGGGACGACGCGCTACCACGGTTAACGGGAATAACGCGCGTAAATTTCATGCGTCGAGCAACGCCGTGTTAATTACGCGCCGAGCCACGCCGTCCGACGCGATTATTACGAAGATTCGCGGTTTATCGGGCATCCGAAACCGCGAAGCGGAGCAGCGGCATTCGTTGCCGGTAACTCGGCTCTTCTTCGCCGTCGTCTTCTCGCTGGGAACGCGCCAACGCGTCAACCGATTTTAACGTTGTCGACCGCGTCCGTTGTTTCTACGACGGACCCTTTTTCGTTGCTCGGCGTCGTATCTTCGAAGCCTATTTTCGTCGTTAAAACGTTTCGTCGAACGCGATCCGTCTCGCGCGCGAAATATTCGCGTACTTTTCCCGGACGAGAGCTCCGCCTCGCTCCGTTGCATCGCGCGAACATGCCCGGCTGTCTATACTACCGTTTTCCGAGCGACGAATACTTTTCGTACGTCGCGTCTTTCCGACCTCGCTCCGAGAGCACGCCACGTCTGGCGCTTTCCCTCTCGCTCTCTCTCTCTCTCTCTCTCTCTCTCTCTCTTTCTCTTCGTCTCTCCGTTCCTTTTTCTCCTTCTCGACCGCGAGATCGTAACGTTTAAACGAGAATACGAGCAATCGATTCGACCAACCTGTACGCGACGGACGCGGCCCCGGAGAACCCTTCGGCGTTCCGACGCCTCGACGAACCCCGCGGACTCGCGATTATCGGTCAATCGAAGCGTCTTCTCGGCGATGCGTTTAAACCGTGTCGGGTGGTCGTGGGTCGTTCGGGCACAAGGCGCTCGACCCGTAACGCGTCGCTCGTCGCTCATCGCCTCGATATCTTCCGTCCAACGATTCCGCACCGGGCCTCTGCCCTGCGAAAACTAAAACCTGGAACATTTTGTACGCGCGAAGAATTCGAAAAGAGTTTTGCTCGCGTTTTCGTACCAATTATTTCGGACCGTGAGCGGCAATTTTTAACGGGGCCTCGGGCCTATCGTTTTTATCGTCCAAAGACCAAATCGTGTACGTAACCCGGAGCAACGATCTCGCAAGGGCGTAGCGAGGAAAAGAAACGGAGGAACGAGCAGCGCCGACGCGAGCGGTCGACGGTGATCCAGGATTCGCGCGTAAACCGANCCGAAGGACGCCGGGGGACGAAGGATTTAAATACCCCGGAACTACCCTCTCGAATCGTTTCTCGTTTCGCAACCCCCTGCATTTTAATAGCGGGACCGGTTCCAAGCACCGCGTTCTAATTATTTTTCGTCTCGCGTTCGCCATCCTCGTTTAAAACGCTTCTTCGCGCGATCTCGCGACTCGCGAGATGCGTGGCTCCGATTTATTCGATCGGGTTTTATTTACGCGTAATTTAACTCCTTGCGATTTTCACCGTCGAAGCCGAATTGAAATTTTGCATCCTAACGAAAGGGAGAGAGAGAGAAATTGAACGGTCGTGGTTCTCCGGAAATTATTTTCGCGGTAAGTATCTCGTTTTCGAAGCGTATCGACTCTCTCTCTTCCTCTCTCGAGCGAGAGCGAGAGCGCTATCCGCGCGACCCTTTGGCGCGGAGCGAAAGAGTCAACGACCGTCCAAAGCACGTTGGACGTCCGTGTCCAGTCGCTCGTCGTTGGAAGGGACGACGCGCTACCACGGTTAACGGGAATAACGCGCGTAAATTTCATGCGTCGAGCAACGCCGTGTTAATTACGCGCCGAGCCACGCCGTCCGACGCGATTATTACGAAGATTCGCGGTTTATCGGGCATCCGAAACCGCGAAGCGGAGCAGCGGCATTCGTTGCCGGTAACTCGGCTCTTCTTCGCCGTCGTCTTCTCGCTGGGAACGCGCCAACGCGTCAACCGATTTTAACGTTGTCGACCGCGTCCGTTGTTTCTACGACGGACCCTTTTTCGTTGCTCGGCGTCGTATCTTCGAAGCCTATTTTCGTCGTTAAAACGTTTCGTCGAACGCGATCCGTCTCGCGCGCGAAATATTCGCGTACTTTTCCCGGACGAGAGCTCCGCCTCGCTCCGTTGCATCGCGCGAACATGCCCGGCTGTCTATACTACCGTTTTCCGAGCGACGAATACTTTTCGTACGTCGCGTCTTTCCGACCTCGCTCCGAGAGCACGCCACGTCTGGCGCTTTCCCTCTCGCTCTCTCTCTCTCTCTCTCTCTCTCTCTCTCTTTCTCTTCGTCTCTCCGTTCCTTTTTCTCCTTCTCGACCGCGAGATCGTAACGTTTAAACGAGAATACGAGCAATCGATTCGACCAACCTGTACGCGACGGACGCGGCCCCGGAGAACCCTTCGGCGTTCCGACGCCTCGACGAACCCCGCGGACTCGCGATTATCGGTCAATCGAAGCGTCTTCTCGGCGATGCGTTTAAACCGTGTCGGGTGGTCGTGGGTCGTTCGGGCACAAGGCGCTCGACCCGTAACGCGTCGCTCGTCGCTCATCGCCTCGATATCTTCCGTCCAACGATTCCGCACCGGGCCTCTGCCCTGCGAAAACTAAAACCTGGAACATTTTGTACGCGCGAAGAATTCGAAAAGAGTTTTGCTCGCGTTTTCGTACCAATTATTTCGGACCGTGAGCGGCAATTTTTAACGGGGCCTCGGGCCTATCGTTTTTATCGTCCAAAGACCAAATCGTGTACGTAACCCGGAGCAACGATCTCGCAAGGGCGTAGCGAGGAAAAGAAACGGAGGAACGAGCAGCGCCGACGCGAGCGGTCGACGGTGATCCAGGATTCGCGCGTAAACCGACGGAATTTAAGTCGCGCGGGCGCGTTCGGCGACGGCCGAACGACTTTCCAACGAGGACCCTTTGTCCGCGATCGTCTCGCCACGCGAGTCACGCGCGCGCGAGATTTCTTGCTCCGCGGGGAATCTCGATGGACGCCGATCCGCTCCGCGCCGCGCCGCAAACGCAGCGGAAAAATCGAAGGGACGATAACAGGCTCCTGGACGTTTCGATATTCTCCCGCGCGGAGTCGCGCGTTGGCATCGCGTTCCGTCGAAACCGTTCGTCGAACGACCGAGTAACGTTCGCGAGACGAAGCGATTGCCGTGCTTCTAATTTCGCGATATCCGCTGTCGCTGTGCGGCGGTCGACCGGGTCTCGTTCCGATCCGCGGCAACCGAAACTGGTTCTTTCTCCTAGGCGAAAATTGGTCGCCGGAGGCCAAGAACCGAGCGTCGGCGTCGGCGTCGGCGTCGGCGTCGGCGTCGGCGTCGACGTCGACGTCTCGGAGGCAAATCGGCCGTGCTCCGGTGTAGGTTTCCGGGAATCGTCGACGAACGTCGGTCGATTACTTTCGTCTCGTTCCGTTTCTGGAAAATGATCCCGTTAATTGCACGGGAGAGGAGAAGAAACGGTGTTCGGTAGGAGAGCAGGCTCGTGATTCTACTCGCAGAATCGTTGCGAAATCGTAGGCTCTCGCTCTCGCTCTCGCCCTCGCGAGAAGGAGAGGTCGACGCCTCGAGATTCGACGAACCGTGAATCGTCTGTGACCGCGGCGCGTGCACGTACACGCGGGGCCAGATCAATCCTGTACGTGTGCGCGGCCGAGCCCGTACACCGGGTCCGTGTTCCTCGGTTCCGTCTCCGTTCTTCGTTCTCCGTTCTCTGTTCCCCGTTCTCCGTTCTCTGTTCTCCGCGCGGCCTCGGCGTGTCGGCGCGTCGGCGACAGGAGTTACCGGCGAGCGTACAGGCTGTTTCATCG